AAGCTACTATGAAGAAAACTAACTTTCCCAGATAAAACCAGCACATTCTCTTCCTTCAGATCTCTAGAGGACAGAAGCAGAGAGTACACCTAAGGACTTTTACTGCAAGCTTAATTTTGGCTTCCTTACTGTAGGTTCAGTCAAGCTCTGTCTTAGAGTAGAGCAGGCTCTTTCCTTGTGCACACTTCAGCAGTTTGTGCATTTGTGCCCTGTAGTTGAGGCAGGAAGGGTATTGGTGAAGGAAGCTCAGCTCATGGCACAGGGTGGAGTGTGCCCATTTGTAGCTATTGTCCTCTCCATGCCCTTCTTCATTGCATTTCCTGCCCCAGCTTCACTGTTGGCATTCTGTTCCTCAGCTGGCATTCTCCAGCAGCTTTTCCTAAGACTTCTGTTTCACCTTTGGTGCATGTATGTGGATTGTATTCTGCTTCCTGGCCTCGCTCTGACGAGCCACATTTGCCGTGGTGAGAGCAGCCCATTGAAAAGGGAGTATTTGGTAGTAGTTCAAGTGTTGGACAAGATGCAGGGGAAGGCTCAGGATTCAGAGCTGTGTGCTTAAGCAGTCTGGGAAGGTTTGTAGCTTCCTGGATACCACAATGGCCAAATGTTTCTGGTTACATCCTAAGCGTTGCTGGAGGTTCTTGGAGAGCTGAGTTCTCTGCCCAGGTCCCAGGGCTCTTCTCCATTTACTGCTGACTAGACAGACGTGTCTCAGACCTGTGGGTCAGCTTTTTTGTGCTGGGAAGTTGATCTCATAGCACAGTGGGAGACGCTTTCCTTTTTTTTTTGTTCTTAGTCTGGGTTTTCTTCAGCAGAAAGCTGGCTCACCCAGTCCAGCCTGACTAGAAACCACCTTGCTTTTCAGCACAGATGCTGGCTGCTGCTCCTCTTTGCTCACGAGTCACCAGGAACCCATTGGCCAAATGCTGTAGTCCTCTTGCCTGGTATGATCGTGTTTTCTGTTCTTGTGCTTTGCTCCTGAGTGCTCTGAGGTTGTTCAGGGAACGTGCAATTTCTGCCATCGTGACGTTGAGGTCTGTGTTCGTCCCTCGCCTGTGGCCCGGCTCCAGAGTCGTCAGTGGCCATCTGCCTTAGCTTCCCATGGGGCCTGGGGCTGGCCACAGTCTGAGCAGGGGCTGCAAAGGTGGATGTGCAAGCTGCTTAGGGCAGAGGCACGAGCCAGCAGTGCTCAGTGCAGGCAGCTTTCTTACTGTGTGGTGCGTCGCAACTTAAAATGTTTGTTCTTTTTATTTAGGAAAATAACTTCACTAGTGAGTCAGGAAACATTGCCAGCATTCCCATGCAAGACTGCTTATAAAGAGCAGGAGGATCAGCATCGTGGTGCACTCTGCAGTAATTCTCACACCCATCTGCCTTCACCTCTCATCATGTGGTGACCTTTGAGGCTGAGGTTTCTGACACCTTAAGTTGCACCATCAAAGAGGGCAGGTTTGGTGCTGGTCTGGAAAGACACCTGTAATTTTCAGCCAGGGTTCAGTAATGTTTAATAGGTGTCTGGCTGAGTCTTCACTGTGTCTGTGGAGGGACATACTCCCTATTGGAGAGTGATGTCAGTTTTGGGGGCAGGATTTACTCCACTTAATGGTTGGGAAAAACAGAGTTACCTTGTGTGTCTTCCTGAATTTTGTTTGGAAATGTGCTTTACTACAAGAAAACACATCTTATTGCTGCTCTTTATGCCCATCGTGATAAAAAGTGTTTGAACAGTGAGGTCTGCAGTTCACATTTGGAGCTGATACGCTGACAGACAGATGTCTAGACTTAAATATTGTAGAGCAAATTCTCTTCCAGTACAAGAGTCTTTAACTGGGGAGGATAATGAAATATGGGATGTGGTATGTCCTTGAGTAGTCATGGATAACTCTGCTCCTGAACCTCATCCCCCACATCTCCAGAGTCTGGCTTGATGGGAGATCTTGTCTCACAGTCTGCCAGAAGGGGGGAGGCTAAACTGGCCTGGATGTTTTACTGCTGTTTGAGCTGTAGTGGTGGTTTTGGAGGATACCAAAGGATCTGCTTGGATGAACTGGTCTCCCTCAAACTGTTTCTTGGACTGTGCTCTGCATTTTGCTGTTTAATTGGAAGGATTCTGAATTTAATAAGCTAGCTAAAATAGTTGAACCCATGCCTTTGTTTAACAGATGAAGGATGAGTAATATTTAGGACTTCAAATAGTTTTCTGCTTTATATTTGTTTGAAACTGCTGGAATTCTTCTGTCTTTATTTGTGGATAGTGTCCATGTTTAGTAATAACCCTTTACTTTGAGTTACTTTGATAAAAACCACTAAGCTTTATCTGAACTATAAAATGTCTGTTCCTTAAGTCCTGTAGACATCTTGCTCTTTAAAAATGTTGCTTCTGAAATGCTGCTTGCCACAAAGAATTTTTTTTTCACATTTCATTTGTACATGGGAAAATACTACTTATATTGCTGTTTCTTTAGAGTGCATGGATGAATGTGTGGAGCAGTAACTGGGTTTCGACTCTCTCCCCACTTCATGCCCAACTCCTTCTCTTGTCTCACAGCCTCAGAATGTTTTGTTTCTGTGACTGTCACTTCTTCCCAGGATGCTTGCACATCCAAAACTTGTCATGTTGGGTTTTCTTGGGGGTGCTGGGGCCCTTGGCAGTGAGCCCAGGGTATTTGGTGGCTGCAGCGATTTTCCCAGGAGCTCTAGACCAGAGGGGAACACTTGAGGGACTTGGCAGAGTGGGTGGCTGTTGTCCTCAGAATGATTCAGGTGGCATATGCTTCCTGTTGCTCACTTTTAGGAAAGAAGGCTGCTGAAAGTAGGATTCAGATCTCTTGCTTTGATGACCGAAATCTGCATGTAGCCTACAGGTGAGGCATTCCTAACTGAGAACAGTCACTCTGGGCCTTGGGGGTGTTTGTGATCTCCATCTGAAGTTAGTGAAGGGGTCTGCAGCTAATGAATCTGCTTAGCTAATGCCCCTGCTCCAAAGGATGGATAAATAGTAATTCCTTCTGTCCCTGGCAAAACTGAGACCCTGAGACACTTCCAGTGAAAACTGAGACTTGTACCAGACCTGAGAGTCACGTGCGTGTCTTCTGAGTTTGCCAGTTACTGTTGTCACACTTGCAAATCTCTTATTTCTCTTGTCCTGTGAAGTTTAAACTACAGGAAGGTGTGAGTTAAACTCGTCCTCAGTATTGTTTGGTATAACTGAAAACTGCTTTAGTCACTGGCAGAATAAAAGAAACCAAGTCCAAGATGAAGCTACATCAGGAAGGAGAGACTTAAGTCTGTGGTGAAGCATTTGTCTGGAGTCTGTGAAGTGCTAGCCTGTTGCAGATGCTGGCACCTCGTTTGTTCTGGGATATCAACTGCCTTAAACACAACCAAAACATCTCTGACCGAAGCGTCTGCAGCTGAAAGTTCTTCTTGTTGATAAAGCGAATAAGCGGGATTATTTGAGGGATACCTTGAATAGATTTTGATACCAGTTGCTACAGAGAGGGACCATCTGTGGGGTTTTTTCCCCTCCTATTCCCTGGCCCCCGCCTTAAAAGCCAGCTGAATATTCACATTGTTCCCCTTACACTGCATGTGGTTGTGTGGTCGTGTAACCACAAAAGGAAATGTTTTCTGTCGGGTCAGTGAGATGATTCAACTCAAATGTACGTACACTCATCCTATCCCAAAATCCAGTGCGAGGAAGTGAGCGGGAATGTGCCCATAGAGAGAGGGAAGCATTGTCCTGTTGCAGGGAGCTTTTGGGTTAGATTGGGTTAAGCGTGTTATGAAGGTGTCAGCCCTCCTTTTGAATGCCTTGAGCTGCATCTCTGACATGCTTGAATTGGAGGGGAGGGAGCAGAGCCCGTGTTCATCCAGAACTTCCCCAGCTATGTGGTGTTGTGTAGCTGTGGAGACATCCCGTGGCCAGATGAGGAACAGCCTGAGCTGTGTCCCTTGTTCAGGCCTCCAGGATCCCTCAGTTCTTAAATTACTGCCCTTGGCTGTTGCTGTGCTAAGAAACTGGAAATGTGATGCATTCGGAAACTCTAGTCACCACATGGTTCTTGTACCAACATTTGGATAACTCATCGTTGAAAGGAAATCCTGTGGCATTTTCCCCAGCAGTTTCAGGATCAGCTGTGATCCAAGCTGGAAAGGGCAAATCATCTGGAGAGAATTTGGGCAGCTTGACTTTTCCATCATCCTGTTGCTGTGCCGGGCACTCTGCAAACATTAAAAGAGCATCTGCTTCTCCAAAGCACTTGTAATCTCATTTGCACTTAGCAATGTGTCTCGCCTTCCTCTAGAGCTCAGGGACTTGTGCATGTAGGTGCTGTGAATGCATCAGGAAATAGCTGTTGTCCTGAGGGGTTGGAGTAATAACGGAGAGAATCTGAGAGGAATCCATCGAGTTACAGCATACACACAGTGACAGGATGAATGTCCTACTCTGAGAAGCTTTATGTCAGTGCTTGAAGGGAAGTGAGCAGTAAAGGAGGAATAGTGTGAGAGTGGGGGGTGAACAGAAATTATTTAGTTGTTTAGATGTTAAAAATGCAGATGCACAAGGAGTGGAACTCAGGTTCTGAAAATGTTTGTTCTGCCTGTGTCAGTCACCGTTAACTGATAGGCAACTGTGGGCTTGGTTTTAATTGGGCTGCAGCTCACAGTTAGTGCTCCATTATCACACTGCCTTCCTGATAAAATGAACGAGGAAGGAAATAGTATTTTTTAAAGATGTGAGACTCAGAATAGCCATATCTCCTCCCTTCCCTGTCTGCTGTCAGTCCTATTGGAGAAGTTCTGGATGGGACTGCCTCTGAATTAGTGTGTGTTTACCTGTAGGATTAAAGACGTGGTGAGGAGCATGCTGGAACAAGCAGGATGAAAACAGAAGAGGAACAGATATGGATATAAATAAATACGAAAAACTCTTCCAAGTGAACAGGGAGCGAATGTAAATGGTCCTTTATTTACAGGAGTCTCTTCTACTCTTTCAGATCACTGCAAGGGATCAGACTGCCAGGATTCCCCCCCTGTGGCTGCCTGACTGCTGCTGAGCTACCCCTCCCAGCCCATGTGGCTCTCCCCATGCTCCAGGAGTGCAACTGGTGCTCAACGCAATGTGTGTTTGTCAAACCATGGAAGTGGGCAAGTATGGCAAGAATGCCACTCGCTCTGGAGACCGGGGGGTCCTGCTGGAGCCTTTCATCCACCAGGTGGGCGGCCACAGCAGCATGATGCGCTACGACGACCACACCGTCTGCAAGCCCCTCATCACCAGAGAGCAGCGCTTCTACGAGTCTCTGCCCCCGGAAATGAAGGAGTTCACACCCGAGTACAAAGGTGAGGCCTCTCGTCTGTCCACAACACAGTTACGTGCTTCAGGGAACCTGCCCTGCCATTTTCCTGCTATCTTGCTGCCTTTTGGTGTCGTTTTATTTGTTGCTTATAACTCTTTTTTGCAGGCTAATAATTTGATAGGAACATTTGGAAAGGAGGAAGTTGTGTTTTTTTTTTTTTCTTTTTTCTTGTAGGCACAGAGTTAAATCTGTTCCTCTTTCAAGGCAGAGAATGTGCAGTGTGACAGTTGTAGTCCAGAGCTTAAGGTTATGGATGTGTAACTGAAGTAGTTTCATTACCAAGTTATTGTCAATTACAGCCTTGACCTTGAGCTAATGAAGTTAGATCATATACTGAGCGTTTGCACATTCCAGTTCTGTAATTTATTGCTTCCTTATTCCATCTCTTTTATGGGCCTGTTTCAGCAGGCTGCTGAAGCAGGAAACATGGCTTTCCCAGCGCTGAGGTGAAGCCTTGTCCCCAGCTGCTTTGAAGGAGTGGAATTTTCCAGTGCCTGTGCTGGTGTAGGTTGGCAGCTCGGCTGTGTCTTTCGGAAGCTCGATACGCTTCCGGCCACATGTGCTCATGTTCAGGATGGTGGTGCAGGCAGGTCGCCTTCTGGGGGGCTCAGCATTCCTATTCCCTCTGTTCTTTGTCTCCAGGTGGCACTGGGGGAGCAGTGCTTCACGGACAGCTGGGCCCACCATCTGCTCGGGAGCACTTTGGATCTGGCTGCAGCCTGACGCTCTCAGAGCAGTGTCAGTTTACCTATCGGTGTCTGTGTGCAGGTCATGCATCAGGGATGCAGTCCCCCAACAGATGGGTCCTCTTGTACCCTCCAGCCACTCTGGGGGCCATGCAGTGCTCTAGTGTGTCCCATCAGGAATCCCACTGAAGCCTGTGTAGTTCCTAGAATCATGTCAGGCTTTCCTAGGGAGGTGTTTTTGTAACCCGTGAAGCTGATAGTCCAGATGGAGACCTGTCTTTTTGAAGCCAGATACTTCCTGGTAGCCTAAAGGCATAGGATGTGCACCTCTACCCCAGTAAGGGATTTAATCTGGAGGTCCTGTGCAATTTCCTGACAGTCCCAGAAATTGTTCCTGCTGATCTGGAAGTGAGGCATATTGGGGTGATATTTGCTGTCTGAGCACTGAGATGTTACTGTAAGACTTCACAGAAATATCTCAAGGAGCACGTGCAGGCAGCCAGAGCACTTGAAGTGGCCTTTATGTAGTGACATGCTGGAGTCCTGAGCTGCTCTGGAGTTGTGTTTGAGCTGCCTGAACTTTGTTAAGCATTGTTGTGCAGATTCAGAGAGAGGAAGGACAGGAACACGATGGTCTGCGTCAGCTGAGCAGGACAAGGTTTCCTCACAGTTGTGATGAATCATTTGATTCAGTGGATCTCTCATATGGTGCTCCTGGCAGCTGTTCAATACTGGTGACAAGTTAATGAAATATTTTGTCATTGCACATCAGGAGAGGGCTGATGGCCTCGTTTTCGGGGCTGGAGGAGTCCCAGATATGAAGATGTCAGTTGTAATTGGAAGTGTCAGCTGTCCTGCTCTGTGGCTGACCAGATAGATACATTCTGAGTCTGTGCTGTGAAAGATCTGTACCTTCCCTTGGACTGTGGTGCTTTCCAGGAGCCTTCAGAAGGTGATGGTGGGCAGGACACCCACAGTCCTGCTTGCCTGCACCTGGCAGTGGTAGTTACACTTGTATTGCTAGGGAGCCCTGGGACTCTAGCCCTGCAGATCCCTTTTCTGTGGGACTGGCTGACCTGTGATAAGAGTGGCAGGTGTCACCTCAGCCTTAGGGCTCTGTAGTTCATAACTCTGATGCTGGAAAGCTCCTCTAGCAGAGAAAGCACAGTCCTGCTTGGCCGCTGATGTCCCTGTAAACAGCAGGAACGCTTCTGCAGGACATAGGTACTTAACCAGAGAACTAGATACTTACTTCGTATGCTTCACTCCCATCAGCATCTTGGCAGACTGTGCTTGACTCCCTCCAGCTTGACGACATTTGCTGCAAGACTGAAGGAAGGAAATAATCACACCCTCAGCCTACCAGCTGCACTTTTGTCCTTGTTTGCTGTGGTGGCAGAGCTTCCCCTGCTGCCACTGACCGTTGGCTCAGGTAGCAGCACAGAGAACTCTAGGGGGGTTTTTCCTCTGTGCTGTGCTGACAGCAGTTGGGTTCTTGTAGTCTTAACCCCCTTTTCTTTGCTCTGAGTTTGCTCTGCTGCTCTGTTAGCTGCATTTTCTGGTCCCTGCTGCTGAACATTTGGGTTGTGTATTCTCCCTGCTGGGAAACAGAACTGACACGTCGCTTCTGCCTTGCAGGTGTGGTTTCTGTCTGTTTTGAGGGAGACAGCGATGGCTACATTAACCTGGTGGCCTATCCCTACGTGGAGAACGAGGCTCTGGAGCAGGATGATATGCCAGAGAGGGACCAGCCCCGGCGCAAGCACTCGCGCCGGAGCCTTCACAGGTCAAGCAGCGGCACCGAGCACAAGGAGGAGAAGCCTGGCCTGGCCAGTGACAGCACTGAAAGGTAAAACTTGGAGTGCCAGCACGATGAGTGGGAGATCTCTCTTCCCCACTCCTTTGGTTGAGGATGTTTTGCACTTCCATATGGCGGCCAGGCTGTCACGCATTTGGTAGCCCGGCATGTTGAGGCACTGCAAACTGTGTCAGGAGTTTTGCTGGGTTCAGGACCAGCTTGTCCACGTGAAATGTTTGTGACACAGGATAACCCTTGGCAGTGTATGAGATGTGGAACCAAAGCATGTGGAACAGATTCAAATGCTTCTCCAGAGGTTTTTTCCCAGGCTACTTTGAATATGGGTCTCTGCCTCCTCTCACCAGCCAGAGCTCCCTGAGAAGCAAGTGTTCCTGCTCACTTGTATCAGTTAGGGTAACAGCCTAGCAGAGTTGTTAGATAGACCAGATTGTTGAGTGTGGGTCAGGATATTAGTGAGGATTTGCTCGTAAGAAGGTTTGTGTTATGTGCAGCAGAAAGAACAAACTTCTGGTTGTGTGCCAGGGGAGGATGTGACAGTCATAAGTACCTAACTCATGGATTCTAACAGGCAAGTTTGTTCTGTCTTTACACCAGCAGCATCCAGGAATCGAAGAGTCCCAGGGTGGACTTGCACATCCACTCAGATGTTCCATTTCAGATGTTGGATGGGAACAGTGGTCTGAGCTCTGAGAAGATCAGCTATAACCCCTGGAGCCTGCGCTGCCACAAGCAGCAGCTGAGCCGCATGAGGTCAGAGTCCAAGGACCGAAAGCTGTACAGTATCCTTTGGGAAGCACAGCTGGGTGTGTCAGATGGGCCTGAGGCAGCTCAGCCTGCATTTCCTTTGGCATTTCTGTCCTTCACAACCACACTTGAGTTACATGTTCCTTTTTACCGTTCCTTCCTGCTTCCCATACTGTGACACTTATGAGTCACAGGATGGTTTGGATTGGAAGGAACCTCAAAGATCACCTCATTCCACCCCCAGGCAGTCTGACTGGTTGCTTCGTATGGTTGAAGATGAGTTTTGATGTTTCCTGTGCCTTCACAAATGGTTCCTCCTGCTTTTGCTGAACTTGCCAGCTTGTGGGGTTATTTTGTTTCACCTGGTGGAGCTTGATTCTGTTTTCCTCGCATAGAAACAAACTTACTTTTAATAGCTGTATTCTTCATCATTTTAGCTGCTGTGGGCTTCCTTCTCCAATTCTCAAGTGTGTGCTTCAAGCCTCCAGCTTTTATTTTTAAATAGCCTGCATCACTTGCAGAGAAATCATTCTCTCTGGCTGTCCTGCCCTTTTTAAGCAGACTTCCTTTTTTTTATGAAGTTCCACTTTCAAAACCAAACACAGTTTCTCTCTTGCAGATTTAATCTGGCTGTGCTCTGACTGCCTTTCAGGGTAACATGTTGACCTGTGCCATGTGGGGCAAACTTTTGGGGTTCTTTTTCCTCCCTTTGGAATAAGCTGCTGCACAGAGTGCCTGAGGTGTCAGCACTGTGCCCTGATGGGGAGCTGCCCATTGTGTGCTGATGACTGAGGGCTCCTGTTACTGCGCTGTTTCCTGGCTTTGTCACCTCCCCACTTCCCCCCCACGGGTCAGGCAGTGTTGCTGTTCTGGACAGGCCAACCCTGCTGTTACTTGAGCCTTGAGTTTTCAGTCCGTGGGGATTGTATTGTTTATCCATATGGCCAAATGGCTAATTTCATTAGACCTTAAGCTCTCTTCTAAGGGATCAGCAATTCCTGCTGGCATTCCATATCCTTCCTCTCACCACTGTTTTCCCCTGCTGGATTTCCAGTACACATGCATGTGACCTCCCTGCTTACTGCTGACCTTCCACTTTCCAGGGTGTTTTCTTCTACCAGCTATCAGAGCCTGGGTGCTGCTGTTTGGGTGTTGACTTTTTCCTCACCCCCCCCAAACAGTTTGCTCTGTCTGTTCTTGGGTTCCCATTTCTTTGTTGCCCAGCCCTATCTCCTGCTGGCCCACGTCCCTGTCTGTGGTAGCCCTGGGGTGTCTCTGGTGGGTGAGCTCTCCTTGACGTGCCTCCCAGAGTTCCTCTTGCTGGAGAATGTGGTGCATCACTTCAAGCTTCCCTGCGTGCTTGATCTGAAGATGGGGACCAGGCAGCACGGAGACGATGCGTCTGAGGAGAAGGCTGCTCGGCAGATGAAGAAATGCGAACAGAGCACTTCTGCCACCTTGGGCGTGCGTGTGTGTGGGATGCAGGTAGGGATTCCCCAGGCTGCAGGTGCTGGACATTCCTTTTTGCGGCCTCATTAAACCTCTCAGTTAGCGTTTTCTGCTGAGCACTGACTTTGAATCTCCCACTGTAGGTAGGTACACCAGCATTTGTCTTCCTTTCTAAGTCTAGAGCAAAGGAACCTGCTTCTCCTGAGATGACCTGCTTTGTCCGGAGCTGTTCTGTTCACAGACAATTAGGGGATTGTCTAATAAAATTATTTTGTGGCTTAATGTTCAGCCAGAATCATGATGCCTGGGGAGGGAGTTGCCTAAGATTCCCTTCTGTACTGCACTGAGAGTTAAAAAGTTGCTCTGCTGTGGCTTAGCCCTGTGCACGAGTGTTTGCTGCTGGTGCTGTTGTGCAATGGTTGTTCCCTTCCCCACCCACAGAAGGACCTTGTAACCCAGATCTCTACCCCCAGACTCTGAAGCAATGAGGGCTCCCTGTTAATCACATCCCACATAATGGCAATAGGTGTTGGCAGCTCCCGCTGACAGGATTGTCCGAGTTGGCCTAAGACTTTGCTTGTTTAACCCTTGGGGTCAGTTGGGCCGTGCCCATGTGTGGGGCACTGGGACTGATGAGCTGCCTTTTGGGTGTTCTGAGAGAGGATTGATGCTTGGGCACCTTGACTGTGCCCATGGGATGCACCCATGAGCTGCTTTGGGATTCAGGGAACAGGCAGAACTGTGTGCTGCTCCCTCTCCATCACGATGGGGACAGAATAAGTTCTCTCAGCCCTCACAGTGCAGGGCAGCTCAGGGCTCTGTGTGTGGCCTTAGCCCATTGCACCCACTTGATGTGCGTTTCCTCTGGTGTTCCAGGTCTACCAGCTGGACACAGGGCATTACTTATGCAGGAATAAATACTATGGACGCGGCCTTTCCATCGAAGGCTTCCGCAACGCCCTCTACCAGTATCTCCACAACGGCATCGAGCTGCGCAAGGACCTCTTTGAGCCTGTCCTTGCCAAGCTGCGGAGCCTGAAGGCGGTTTTGGAGAGACAGGCCTCCTACCGCTTCTACTCCAGCTCCCTCCTCATCATTTACGACGGGAAGGACAGCCGGGCGGGGATGTTCGTGGAGCGCCGGCCGGAGACGCGCCTGAAGCGGGTGGACGGCCCTGTGCCCGAGAGCCTCCAGGACGGCGGCGGCACCGAGCCCGGCTCCTCGGCACAACCCAAGGTGGACGTGCGGATGATTGACTTTGCACACAGCACCTTCAAAGGCTTTCGCGACGACCCCACTGTGCACGACGGACCCGACATGGGCTACGTGTTCGGGCTGGAAAGCCTCATCAACATCATGGAACAGATGCGCAAGGAAAACCAGTAGCCCTGGGCTACGGCCTCTTATTCTTGTCCCGGTGGCCCGAGCAGACAAGACCACCTCCTACCACGGGAAAAACGCAACTTTGGTTTTAAACAACTGTATCGCTCCGTTGTTTTTAAATGTACTTGGATAGGAGAGCCGAGGGAGGCAGGATGGAAGAGCTCCTCGTGCTGACCAGACGGTTCCAACCACACTAGCTCTGCCTTCTGGAGGAGGCTCTGTAGATGCCTGCTGGGTGTCGGTTGTCCCGGTTCTTCACTCATTGCGTGCGCGTTTTGGAGGGAGGATCTGGATGTAGGGATGAGAAAGCAGGAGAGCCTGGGGCTCTTCACATGGCTGGAGCTCTGGTGTGAGGAGCCTCTTGCCTTGGGAGCCCCCGGGAGAGCCTTCCCTTCGAAATTCTCCAGAGCTGTTTGGAAAGGGCACTCCGCTAACGGTTGGCAGTGTCTGTGTGGCTGCTGGTGAGCAGCTCAGGTGCCGGTCCCTGCATTCGGTGTTGCTGGCTCTGCCCTGGGTTTTGCCGACGGGGCTTTGCTTTTGATGCTGCCTTTTTCTGCTGTTTGGGCACTGTGAATAGCCACCCCAGACACAGAAATGAAATGACCAAATGCAACCCCTGGCAGAGCTGCGGCTGGGAGGGAACGCCGCACACCTGGAGCTGTGCTTGAGCCCTGGGCCTGCTCCTTCTGATGCTGTGGCACGGGCCAGGCACAGGGCTCTGAGGGAGTGACTCTGCCCTGGACCACTGACCAAGCAAGCACTCAGCTCGTGGGCTAGCAATAGTATCTGTAGCAGTTAAGATGACCCCAGCTGTCCAGCGGGGCCTTTTGGACCATTTCAACCCTTCCCCTCCTGTAATGTTGGTCCCACAGGCCGTACTGAGTCTGTCCCTCCAGCACAAAGATGCCCTCTGCTCCCAGGCCCTGCCCTTTCCACGGGCCTGGGGGTGGTGGAAGAGAAGGCTGAGGGTTGGGGCTGACCCCCCTCTCCTCCCTGAGGATCTCCAGGGGCCAGGTAAGGGGGGACCTGGCTGAGCGGTGAGTGCCACTGCCTGCCTGTTTAGCTTTGCTTCCTGGAGTCGGTCTGTCCCAAAATAAATGTCCCCTGGCCTCCCTTGAGGCATTAACGTTTGATACTGTGGCCTGGTGGTACCAGACCGTACCCTGCTCCACATCACCCCTGTTTCTGTGCTGGGGCCCCCCAGCTGCTCCCTCCTGCTCTCACTGACTTGTTCCATGGCGTTACCATTACCCCGGCTCCCTGCCAGGCCAGGGTTGGGTTTGGGTTTTTTTTTTTTTTTTAATTCCTTCAGGGAAGCTTGTTTGGGAATACTCGCATGTCGCATGTGTGCCGACTCCACGTGTGCACAGGTCTCTCGGACAGTGCGGGTGCTCAGCCACCTGCGGGCACGGGTCTGTGCTGCTGGTGGGGAAGGGAACAGGGACTGGGCCAGCTCTCTCTGCCTGTCTCCCAGCTGCTCAACACTTGTCCAAGCCATCGCTCCACTCCTGCCTTCTGGACAAGGACCTTTATCCCTGGCACGCTGCCCTTCGCTGGGTTACTTCATCGCTCCTGCGGGTCTCTGCATTCCCAGGAGTCGCAGGATTTTCAGGGAGCAGATTTGCAGGAGGGACTGAGGTCGGGTGAGGGGCTGGGTGTAGCCAGCAGGTGCCCCAGGTGCCCCCAACAGCCGTGTTACCCCCCTGGCCCTGCCCCAGCGTGGCCTATCGCTGTCCTCCTCTGCATGTCGTTGTCCCCTGGGGGCTGTGCTCGGGCAGGCCAGGCCCCACCTCCTGGGGAACCCCTTGGTGTCCCCCCCGTGCCCATTCCTGCCGTTCCCACCTCGCAGGGCCGTGGCAGACCTGCCACGCTGCTGGTGCTCCGCGGGAGCCGCCTCCCTCCCCTTCGGACCACCGCGGTGGGACTCCACAGCTTGTACATAGCCTTGGCCCCGTTTGTTTTTACATGAATAACCACCCTGTTTGTGCTTCACCAGAGAACCAAAAACATTAAAGGATCTGTTTTTGTCCGCCGTGTGCCGTGCCTGCCTCTGCCGCGTCTGAGCGCGGGGACGGGGGTGAGGAGGCTCGTGTGGGGTGTGGCCGTGCTCCTGCCCTCTTGTCCTCGCTCTGCCCCCGGGGCGGGCGGGTGAAGAGTGCGCGGTGAGTGGGGATGAGCGCTGGGAGCGGACGGGCGACGGCGTCTGGGTGGCCTCTAGGACCCAGGCGGGCGGGCTGTAGGACGTGGGCGGGCTGGGTGTGCGGGGCGGGCTGTAGGAAGGGGGCTGGCTCTGTGCCGGGGGGCGGGCTGGGTGTGCGGGGCGGGCTCTGTACCGGGGGCGGGCTGCAGGACGCGGGCGGGGCGGGGCCGCGCTGCGGTGACGCGCCCAGCGCGCCGGGCGCTGACGTGTCGGTGCGGGCGCTGGCGCGGGACGCGGGGGGATGCGGGCGCTGATCCTCGTAGGCGGCTTTGGGACGCGGCTGCGGCCGCTGACCCTGAGCCGGCCGAAGCCGCTGGTGGAGTTCTGCAACAAGGCGGTGCTGCTGCACCAGCTGGAGGCTCTCCGGCAGGTGGGGGCGCGGGGCGCGGGGGGTGCGGGGGCCGCCCCGCCGCCGGCTGACCCGCGCTCCCGCAGGCGGGCGTCAGCCATGTGGTGCTGGCGGTGAGCTACATGTCGGAGGCGCTGGAAGCCGCCATGCGGGAGCAGGAACAACGGGTAAGGGCCCTTCCACTTCCCCTCGCCTCCCTTCGCAACCCGGCCCTCCCCGCCACTCACCCTGTGCCCGCAGCTCGGCATCCGCATCTCCATGTCCCACGAGAAGGAGCCGCTGGGCACAGGTAGGATACGTGCAGGGACGGGGGCGAGCGGGATGGAGGAGGTCGGGAGACAGCGGGGTGGGTGCTGGGGGGGACAACGGGAGGGGGACAGCATGGACAGCAGCGTGGGTTTGGACAGCGTAGGGATAGGAGAACCGGGAGCACTGGGAGGGGGATGCCAGGACGGACGTGGGCAGAACCAGGGATAGCGAAGCCAGCTGAAGATCCAGAGGGACTGGGGACTGTGGGGGAGGGATGTTGGGACGGGCAGAGGCAGGGCCAGCAGGACCCGGGCGTTGGGCTCACCGCCTCCCCGCGGGGTCACTCCCGGCCGGGCAGCGGGGCCGCTGGCACTGGCACGGGACCTGCTGGCCGAGGACGGGGAGCCCTTCTTTGTCCTCAACAGCGACGTGATCTGCGAGTTCCCCTTCGCGGCGTTGGCCCGTTTCCACCGGCAGCACGGCGGCGAGGGCTCGCTAGTGGTGACCCGCGTGGAGGAGCCGGCCAAGTACGGCGTGGTGGTGTGCGAGGCCGACACCGGCCGCATCTGCCGCTTCGTGGAGAAGCCGCGCGTCTTCGTGTCCAACAAGATCAACGCCGGGCTCTACATCTTTAACCCCGGCATCCTGCAGCGCATCCAGGTACAAGCCGGGGCGCTGTGCTGGGCCGGGCTGGGGGGCCGGGCCCCCTGCTCAGCCCTGTTCCCTGTCCCTGCAGCTGCGCCCCACCTCCATCGAGAAGGAGATCTTCCCGGCCATGGCGCAGGACGGGCAGCTCTATGCCATGGAGCTGCAGGGTAAGGCCCTGTGCACAGTGCAGGCAGCATCAGGGGGTCTTGACTGCTCTGCCACCCCTGCTCTGGGTGTTTGTCACCGCGGCTCTGTCCCCGCAGGCTTCTGGATGGACATTGGGCAGCCAAAGGACTTCCTCACGGGCATGTGCATGTACCTGCAGGCGCTGCGGGCTCAGCACCCTGAGAAGCTGCACTCGGGGCCCGGTGTTGTAGGGAATGTGCTGGTGGTAAGTGCCAGCCCCCAGCACACCACCCCTTGGGCTCTCCGTGTCGTCCCACTGCTCTCCTCACTGCCATCCTCAAGCTGTGCCCTCTTGTCCCCACGCTGGCCAAGTGGCCTGGGCTGTGCCAAGAGCTCTGTCTGCCCTCCCAACCCTGGCACAGCCCATCTTCCTTCCAGGACCCCAGTGCCAAGATTGGGGCAAACTGTGTCATCGGACCCAATGTGACGATCGGGGCCGGCGTGGTGGTGGAGGACGGGGTGCGCATCAAACGCTGCACCGTGCTGGAGGGGGCCCGCATCCGCTCCCACTCCTGGCTGGAGTCCTGCATCGTGGGCTGGAGCTGCTCCGTGGGCCAGTGGGTGAGGCCCTGGGTACCCCTGCAGGGTATTGAAGCTCAGCTCTTGCCCTCGCTCCTCCTCAGGCTGTGGCTGGAGGGATGTGCCGGTGCCTGTGGGCAGGAGTGGGAGCACAGCCCTGGGCTGAGCCGGGCGGGTGTGACGGGGCCTCTCCGGGCAGGTGCGCATGGAGAACGTGACCGTGCTGGGCGAGGACGTCATTGTCAACGACGAGCTCTACCTCAACGGGGCCAACGTGCTGCCACACAAATCCATTGCCGAGTCCGTGCCAGAGCCGCGCATCATCATGTAGCAGAGTGCCCTGCGGCCCCCGCCCTCCTCGGATTAAATATTTATATTTCCATTTACTGTTCAGCGTTACCTGAGCACGGCCCAAACACTGGGTCGCTTGCCAGGGCTGGTCTGGCTTCCCCTCGCTGTGTCTCAAGGGACCACATAAGGAAGAATAATTTAATGTTGCATTTCACGAAGTCAGCCCCCAGCCAGGGGCAAGTTAACAGCCCGAACGCCCAGCCTGTCCCCCCTGCCCTGGAGCTGCCACATGTTCCCAGCGCTGCCGCAGAGCCGAGGCCTCGGGCTCCCCTCCCTGAGAATGGCCCGCGGGGCAGAGAGGCTGCCAGGCGAGGGGATGCTGGCCTCTCCTACCCTGCAGCCCCCCACCCCACGCTGCAGCCCCGTGCTGGGTCCTGGCCCTCGGGGTGAGGGTCCCACGGCCCTGAGCAGGGCAAGCGTTTGGGGACAAGCCAGCATGGGGCAGGGGGGCCACCCCAGTCAGCTGAGGGAGCCTGTGGGGCGGGGCTGGGCTCTACGAGCTGGCTGGCTTGGTGAAGTCGTCCACCCCCGTGATGGTGGCCTTGCAGAAGAAGCAGTCCTTGTTGTTCATCAGGTGCTGGTTGATACAGGCTC